AAAAAAACCCAACTTTGACAGAAATCCCCCACATCAGAGGTTATATTTGCGTCACAAAGTCCCAAAGATCACATAAAAAATGCAGAATTAGCCCTTTAACATTAGAATATCCTACTTCCTCTGCAAAAATAGCAGAATGAGACGGCAAGATCTACTCAGAATGTCCCAGAGTCCTAAATATAACACAAAAAACGCTGGATTGGCCCTTTAAAAACAAGAATATTAGACTTTTTCTGCATAAATAAATATATTTGGAACTCTGAGTGATTATTTCCATCACATAACACATAAAACACCGGATTGGCCCTTTAAAAATAAACACACTGTACTTTCTTCTACAGAAATAATATTTCCTTCCTATAAACACAAAAAACACCAGATTGGCCCTTTAAAAATAAGAATATGATGTTTTTCCTGCATAAATAATAAACATATTTGGAACTCTGAGTAACTATTTCCATCATATAAACACAAAAAAACACCGGATTGGCCCTTTAAAAATAAGAATATTACACTTGTTCTGCATAAATAGCAAATATATTTAGAACTCTGAGTAAATATTTCTGTCATATAACTCATAAAACACATGAGTCGTGCTTTAAAAATAAGAATATTGTGCTTTTTCTATTGCAGAAATAATATTTCCATCACAAAAACACAAAAAAATGCCGGATTGGCCCTTTAAAAATAAGAATATTGTATTTTTTTCTGCAGGGATAATCATAATTCCATAATATAAAGCGAAAAAACGCCAGATTGGCCCTTTAAAAATAAGAATATTTTACTTCTTCTGCATAAATAATGAACATATTTGGAAGTCTGAGTAACTACTTCCATCATATAACACAAAAAACGCAGGATTGGCCCTTTTTAAAATAAGAATATTGTAGTTTTTTTTCTGCAGAAATAATCACATTTCCATCATATAAACACATAAAACGCCGGACTGGCCCTTTACAATGACTCTATCCTGGTGTTCCTGCTGAATTAACGGGAATATGATGGAATTCCTCCGTGTCCCGACTCCGGTGACCGTCAGGACTCCGCTCGCTGTTTTTTTTTTTTTTCCTGCGCTAAATTGCACGTGTTTTTCATGTAACGGCGCCACCACCGGAGCACCGGGGCGCCCCTCCGCTCTTCACCTACCGGTCGGTGTCTGCGGGCCAAGTGAAGACAAAGCAGCAGGGGACGAGCTGCGGGATGACGGCGGCGCAGAAGCCCGGCGCTCCTCGGAACAAAGCTCCGGCAGCTTCAGCATCTTCGCTCATCACTTTGCAACTTGGTCCGCATCCTTGAGCGCGCGCCTCGGTGACTCTCCGGTGAACGGTCCGGTGAACGGTCCGCCTCCGCCGCCGCCGGTGCTTCGCCGCCGCCCGGAGCCCCTTTGTTGCAGGGAAACGTGGTGTCGGAGGCGCCGGTCGGTCATTCAGAGTCACCGGAGGGGGACCGTAAACTGTGAATGGCCGCGTGCTCGACCGAATCAGAGAGCGGCGCTGCGTTCACGGGCGCCTCGGAAACTGCGGAAACTCCTCGACTGCCACGGATCGTTATTATCAATGAGTTGAGCTGGTGACGGGGTAAACTGGGGTGAGGACGTCCCGCTGCACTCTAAAAAAACATACTCTACACTAGTAAAAAATACCGTTAAATAAGTAAAATAAAATATATAAAAAATTGAAAAGAGACTTAAAACGGGATAAAAGGACTCTGACAGGAAACAGTAAAGATGTAAAAATGTGCAACGTCACTGTGGAAAGCAACGTTTGAGTAAAAATCACCCAGACTGGGTTCAGACAAATTCTAGTAAAATTATGTTCAACCAACAAAATACATCGAGTTAGAAAAAAATGATTTTCATCACATGTAGTTTTAATTACAACTTATAGATTGATTATAGATATAGATAAATTATAGATTACAGATAGATAGATAGATAGATAGATAGATAGATAGATAGACTATAGATTATATAGACTATAGATTATAGAGATAGATAGATAGATAGATAGATAGATAGATAGATAGATAGATAGATAGATAGATAGATAGATAGATAGATAGATAGATAGATAGATGTGCATTGGAAAAACACAAGAAAGCAGAAGAAAGAAGACAAAATTGACAGAGTTTTAAACAAAACTCCAAAAACGGGCCGGACAAAATTGTCGGCACCCTTTTAAAATCATTTAATTTCAAGCCTTTGATGCTGGTTTAAACTCACCTGTGGCCAGTAACAGGTGCTGGCAGTATAGAAACCACACCTGAAGCCAGTTAGGATGTATAACAGTTGACTCAGCCTCTGAGTTGTGTGTCTGTGTGTGTCACACCAAGCATGGAGAAGAGAAAGCAGAGCTGACAAATGTCTGAGGACTTAAGAAGCCAAACTGTGGAAAAATATGAACAATCTCAAGGTTACTCCAGAGATCTTGAAGTTCCTTTGTCCACTGTGCGTAATACAATCATGAAGTTTATAACCCATGGAACTGTGGCTCATCTCCCTGGACGGGGATGGAAGATAGAAATTGACAAAAGAATGCAGCACAAGATAGTTAGAGTGGTGGATAAACATCCTCAGTCAGCTTCCACACAGATTCAGGCTGTCCTGGAGAGTCAGGGTGCAAAAGTGTCAGCTCGGACCATTCGTCGTCATCTGAATGAGAGGAAGCTCTATGGCAGGAGACTGAGGAGAAGCCCACTGCTGACAAAGACACGTAAAAAAGCCAGACTGGAGTTTACAGACATGTACCTGAGTAAGCTTCAGTCCTTCTGGGAGAACGTTCTGTGGACAGATGAGACTCAAGCAGAGCTTTTTGGAAAAGCACGTCATTCTACTATTTACAGAAGCCAGAATGAGGCCTACAAAGGAAAGAACACAGTACCTACAGTCGTTGTTTGGGGCTGTTTAGCTGCCTCTGGCACTGGGAGCCTTGACGGTGTGCAACGAATCATGAAATCTGAAGACTATCAAAATATTTTGGGCTGCAGTGTAGGGCCGAGTGCCAGAAAGCTGGGTCTGCGTCCGAGGTCACGGGTGTTCCAGCAGGACAATGACCCGAAACACACCACAAATAGCTCCAAGAAATGGTTGGAGACAAAGCGCTGGAGAGTTCTGGAGTGGCCAGCAATGAGTCCGGATCTAAGTCCCATTGAACACCTATAGAGAGACGTCAAAACTGCTGTTGCAAGAAGGTGCCCTTCAAACCTGAGAGACGCCGCTATAGCTCACCTGGTTGAGCTGGCGTCCCATGTACAGGGGATATAGTCCCCAACGTAGCGGTCGTGGGTTCAAATCCCATTCATGATTCTTTGCTGCAGGTTCTTCCCCCATTCTTCTCCCTCCACTTTCCTGTCCCTCCCTCTCTCTCTCTGCCCTATCGAAAAAGCCAAAAGAGACCTGGAGCAGTTTGCAAAAGAAGAGTGGTCCAACATTCCAGCTGAGAGAAGAAGCTTGTTGGTGGCGATAGGAAGTGACTGGTTTCAGTTATTTCTTCCAAAGGTGTGCAACCAAATATTGAGTTGGGGGCGCCAACAATTTTGTCCGGCCCATTTTTTGAGTTTTGTGTAAAATTTTGTCTTCTTTCTTCTGCTTTCTTGTGTTTTTCCAGCGCACATAAAGGAAATAAACACGTGTATATCAAAAACATTTTTAACTGCAACAATTTCTGGGAGAAATGGTGGATTCTCGATAGATAGATAGATTATAGATAGATAGATAGATAGATAGATAGATAGATAGATAGATAGATAGATTATAGATAGATAGATTATAGATTATAGATAGATAGATAGATAGATAGATAGATAGATAGATAGATAGATAGATTATAGATAGATAGATAGATAGATAGATAGATAGATAGATTATAGATAGATTACAGATAGATAGGTGAGCTGTCACACAGAGTCGCTGTTTATCAGCTGGACGTAATTGTACTACAAGTCAAAATATTTTTCTGTCATATCAAAAGGGTTTTTTATTAGAGAGATTCTGCCATTTAACAGCAGGATATTTTTCAGCAGTGTTATCGTGAATGTGTTTTACGACGTGTTCTCTCTAATCTTTAAACCTAAGCCAGCTGAGTAGCAATAAAATCACATTTTCTCAACTGTAATTGGCTGTAGTTTCATAAACCATCATCACAAATGGATTATCTTCGGTATTGCTTTGCCTGCATGTGAACCTTCTTGTCCCCACAAATACTCCACAGCATCGTCTCTAAAGCTATTTTGAATGTTGTTCACCCAAATAACCCAAATGTGCCTGTGTCAGTCAGATATTCAGAAATATTACATCAGACAACAATAAGTCAGAATGCAATTACTAAACTCCTACATTACACAGATTTCTGCCACCGTCTCTACACCAACAGTTTAATATAATTTCTAAAATATACTCGTGTCTTTTGGTTTTTGTGTGACTTGTAGTGGCCCAATCTTTGCCCATGTATAATAAACTTCACCATAAACTGTGGTTATCATCAGCAGGCTACCGTTAACTGAGCTACACAACTTTAAAAAAAGAAGCAGAGATGATAAATGTAAAGCTGAGGGATGTTTAAACCTTTTGTCCTCATGTTACACAAACTAAAGCCACACTAGCTGGAAGGAACCAGGCTGTACTTAGTCTGACAGCTTTCCGTTATTTTTTAGGTTGAACGCACCAAAGCTTCACATCACATCTCGTTTCTGATGCTGTCAGTTGCCTCTTTAACCAAATCTGGCGTTTAAAACGGGTTCGTACGCGAACGTAGCATCGCTTCAAACAGCCAGAAGTCACTGGATGTTTTACTAAGACGCCTTTTAAGCAGCTAAGAGGATTTTAGACTTTTTGGTCAGCCCGTTGAAGCAGCGCTAGCCGCTGAGCTAACACCTCCAGCAGTTCTTAATGATGCTCCCGTTAGCTGGCTAGCTAGCTCGCTAGCTCACTAGCGCCCACAAACAAGACTTTAAAACAACTTTTCTTTACCTCCTCGCGTTACATTCCGAAGTGTCGCGTTAGAACAGTCATGAGCAGTCATCCGAAGACGGGGAAGACCAACAGTCGATGAGTTTTTGGTAGAAAATCCCGCTTTAGCCGAACTACTACTCGCCTGAGAAAGCTTTGTTTTGATGTGGGGAGTTCGCGTGGGAAATATCGCGAGAGAAGACGAGACCTTATTCCAGGAAGTAGTCCTCCACATGTTAAAGAGCTGCTGGATATTTCTGAATAAGCAGTGAATACAACATTAACAGGATTGTATTTGATTTATTTTAATTTATTGATTTAAACACATATTGAGCCCATGTTTTGTAGGCTGTCGTTCTGCTTAAATACATATAAAAATATATTTTTTATTTCTATGTTGTTGAAGTGCAGACAGTATTATTAAGCTTAGACATCCATGTAGGCATTCTGCATCCAAAGTCCAAGTAAAATAACTACAGAGTAAATCTACAATGCAAAAAATAAATTAGGAAAATGCATTAAACTAGCTAAAAAGGATCGCCCTTTGATTAGGACATTGTCAAATAATAATAATTTAAAAAATAGAGTTGGTCCATCTCTCTTTTGTCACTCAGGTCAGAGGTCAGTGGCTTAATGAAACACCACCTGTTCCATTAAAGTGCACAACAGGGAAGCTTGGCCTCATCGTTTCATAAATAGCAACGTCATAAATAAAATTAAATAAAGTAAAAACATCCGCTGATAAAAGACGGACACGTACGGAAATCTGGAAATAGAAAAATAGAAAGTAGGATAAAATTCAGTAAAAAATAAAACTAAACGTTGGAATCGTTGGTGGGAATTAAATCAGGACGGCTTCGACTTGAGGAGCTTCTCCAGGAAGTTCAGGGCGTGTTGGATCTCCTCCGACGTCAGGTCGCTCAGCTCGGGCAGATCCTCAGGACGCAGCCGCCTCCTCCTCCGACCCGCCGCCTCCCCGCTGCCGTCCCGACCCGCCGCCGCCGCCGTCGCCGTGTGGATCCCGCGGAGCCTCATCTGCAGCCAATCACGGCGCTCCTGGACCTGCTTGTGCTCCCCGAGGTTGTGCATCAGCTGGACTTCGCTCACCGTCCGCTTCCTGTCGGCAGAGAGTGACTCGAGCTGTTAGTTTGGCCTGAACGGCGTGTTTCTAAAATGACCTCGTGACCTCGTGACCTTGTGCTGGTGGAGCTAAAGTCTTACCTCAGAGGTCGTCCTTCACAGTGAACAGAAAGGTGGAAAACACAGAGAGACACAAACAGGATCTTGTAGTCCACGTTCTTCATGTTGACCTTGATGACCTGAGAAAATAAAAAGAAAACAATATGTCATGTTTTTTTTCTTCCAAAACTACAACATGAAGCCTAAAAACTAAATCTGGAAATGATGGTCTCAGTTTGACAACTTTTAATTGAATGATGTTCAACCAACAAACCACACGTGAGTTTTTAATTATTAATGATTGATTTATAAAAATGTAAACTCATAAAAAAGTTGTTCCATCTAGTTTTACGAGTATTTATTTGAGCTATCTGTTGAGTTGTTGAGCTGACAAGCTTTTTTTTTCTTTTCTTTTTTTTTTAAAAATCTGAGCTTCTTCAGTAGTTTTGTCTTTTTTTGGTGTTTTTGACAACAAAATTTTGTCTATTTTTTTAAATTATTATTTAAACAGTTGACCTGCAGCTACGTAGTTCAACACGACTACATATTAAACGGATGCAATAATCTTATTATGTTAACAAATACTCACTTAAATAATGTGTAAAACCCTTTAACTCTTTCTCTAAACTGAAGATTAAACGGTAATCGTGCCTTTTGTTACATGGTGAGAACAGATCACCTGAATAAAAGTTCAGAAAAAGGGAATTTAAATGACATTCAGCCTCACATTAAATGAAATAATTTACTGATTCAGTTTTTGGATTTAACACGTTGAGTTTTTATTTATCATAAATAGCTTACATATTAAATTTATCTGACTATAAAAGTAAAAAAAACAAACAATAACCTCGTTTAGTCTGAGACACATTCGGCCTCCGACACACATTTTGTGCTGCTTAAAAAACACATGACTGCAAAATAAACTCAGAATTTTACAATTTAGACATTTTTGATTAGTTGGCGTTAAAATAAGAATAATGTTAGTAATCGCATCGATGTGATGTTGTGAGTAAAAATAAAATTTAATTTGTTCTTTTAAAAAATTCTAAAAAAAAAAGAAAGATAGACAATATTAATTAAAAAATGAATAATTTAAATTTCTTAGAAGCTACTCACATGAACAGAAACAATTCTAATTGGAGCAACTTCATTTTTAAAATGTTTTCAACTTAAAAACGAGTCTCTAATTAAACAAACAACTAAAAAACATTTATAAACAACGTGGACACGTGAGCTGTAACTTAATTCTTAGAAATAATCAACTTAAGAACTTGTGTTTGTCGTTGAATAAATAAAATCGAGGAGGAAAAGTGAATCCACGGAACTCAACATCGTTCGTTGGTTGAACTTAATTTCATCAGAAGTCGCCTCAACTCAAACCTGATTGTTTCTTAACTTCACCTGAACTGAAGTTTTCTCCTGGAGGTGGTGAAAGTGCAGCAGCAGATTCATGAAAGCTGCTCCGGTCCTGCTGGTCCTGCTGGTTCTGCTGGTCCTGCTGGTCCTGCTGCTGGGCTCCCATCAGTTCTGGCCTCTGCAGACTCCTCCTGGTCCTTTTATAGCCCCGGGGCTCCGTCCATTGATGAGCTGCCTCCTCGTCGGGGGGCCGGACTCACGACGACGACGACTCGCTGTCACTCAGGACGGACGCCTGGAGCTGAACCCAAACACCCCGACGGCAGATTTACGTGCACAAGCACACGCACGGGAACATCACGGGAACATCACGGGAACATCACGGCCCGTTTGTTTATCACCTCGTTACTGCAGGAATGCATCAGTTATTCTAATCAATGATTTCTTCTAATATAACAGAAGAGAACAGAATTGTAATTTCATTTTTTATAGAAGTCATGATGGACTACTAATAATAGTGATAATGACACTAATAATTAAGAATATGAAAAAAATACAGTTAATAAATAATAAAGATTATAAAAAGGAAATAAATGAATAAAAATGAATATGGATTTAATTTTTTTTAAAGTGTATATATGTACACATGTAAAAAACTGATAAATAAATGATAATAATAAAAGATTATAAAATAAACAATAAAACCTGTAATTATACAGATTCTAAAAAATATAGTTAAATAAATACTTTAAAAAAAAAGATTAAATATTTTTTTAAATATGTGCATATATTTCTACCTATGTTAAAAAAAGGCAAATAAATTATAATAATAAAATAAAACTAGTAATAATAGTCGCAATAATATTAATAATAAGATTATAAAAGTAAATAAATAAATAAAAATAAATATGGAATTAAACATGAAAAAAGTGTATATATATATATATATATATATATGTAAATGTAGGTAAAATAAATAAATTATAATAATGAAAGAAAATATGAACAATAAAAAAAAATATGGGTAAACATCTCTACCTACGTTGAAAATATATAAATAAATGATTATAAATAAAATAAAATAAAATAATCAGAACAATAAAAATCCCAATAATACAAATAATAAATAATATTAAAAACAATGATAAAAATAAAAAAATTACAAATTTTAAATAAATGTGTGTATACATTTATACCTTAATTATCTAAATTAATATAATAATAATAGCAGTAATAATACTAACAATAAAGAATATGAAAAATAAAGTTAATTAATTAACTTTAGAAAATGTGTATACATGTGTAAAAAATATATAAATAACAATAATAATAATAATGATAATAATAATAAAATAATATAAACAATAAAAATCCCAATAATACATTAATTAAGTAATGTTTAAAAAATTCTAAAAATAGAAAACATTACAAATTTAAAAAATATATTTATGTATCTATACCTATGTAAAAAACTGAAAAATTCTAAAATGAATATAATAATAATAATAATAATAATAATAATAACAGCAATAATACTAATAATAAAGAATCTAAAATGTAAATTTATAAATGAATGCAAATAAAAACAATCGAATAAAATTGTTACTGTGAAACAACAACAAAAGAGCACAAAGTCAATAAAAATAAAAATAATTATAATAAGAGAAACTACAACAATGAGACATTTTATAAAGTAGAATAAAACAGGTGCAGATATCAGACGTACGTAATGTTTCTGTTGAACTGATGCTGATCGTGTAGCTTCATGAACACTCGGAGCAGTGTGTCGTGTTCTAGTCGCATCGTGTCGTGTTCTAGTCGCATCGTGTCGTGTTTTCGTCGCTGCCGTTCACGTCCGCGTCTCTTTATTTAGATGTCGACGGTGTTCCCTCATCTCCCATCATTCCCTCCTCCTCCGAGTCCTTTATCCAGATCTATGGGTCCACATTTGAGGTGACCTTTGTTGTGCGACTCCTCTGAGGCCTCGCAACAATGGCGGCAACATGCGGCTAGATTTACGGCCCGCGTCGACCGTCGGAGGGTCGCCACGGTTACGTGGACGCGGGACCCAAGAATTAGCATCGTTTTAATGAGTCGGGCTCCAGAACAAGAGGCGCGACGTCAGAGGAGGCGTCCTGAATCGGAGACGCAGCCGGAGTTCAGGAGGAGCGTCGCCGCTGTCGTCACCGCTGTTGGCCGGCGGCGGCGGCGAGCGTGGATTCTTCATGTCAACAGCTGGTGAAAGGAGTCGAAGGAGTTCAGCTAAAAGCCCCGAAAACAGGATCAAACAAGAAGCTTCACCACTGGGTGACCTGGTTCTTACCCAGCATGCAGCAGGCAGAGGGCGCTGTAAAAAATCTGATCTTTTTTTAAAACAAATTATTTTCCAGTTGCTTTACAGATGTTTTCGGGTTTTTTACATTCACTTTAAAAAAAAAAACAAAAATTTATCAGATCATTTCTAGTCCACTCACAGGAACAAAGAATTGATTTACACGTTAACTGTAGTAATAAAAATTAAACAAATAAATAAAAATAAATAATAATAATAATAATAATAATATTGTCCAATCAGAATTTTTTTGTAATGTCAACATTTGACCATAAAATACACAATCGTCACTGTGTTTAATTCAGCAAAGTTTATATTTATAAAGTTTTACTTTTTTACATGTCAGGAACTTAACACAACAACAACAACAACATCAACATTGTAAATACATGGACAACATGGAAACTTCTGTTTGTGTCTATAAAGCAACAATACAGACAATTTTTGAGAAATTTTGTACAAATTTTGTGTGTTTTTGCATCATTGTGAACCAGATTTTTGTAATTGTTGCACATTTTTGTCGCTATATTTAATTCAGAAAGTGTTTTCTTTTTATTTTACAGACATTTGATGTTATTTGAAACAACAATTATCCATATTAAGGAGTAAAAAAATGTTATTTTTCACATTTTCACAATTTAATCATTAATAAAGTCACACAAAAATAAATTAAACTACACATCAGCTCTAAAAACCAACAAAAACATACAAAATTGAAATAATGTCCACATCAAACCATCTGTTTGTGTTTATAAATTTACAATACAGGCAATTTTTTGACAAATTTAGCACAAATCTGGGGCGTTTTTGAGTCATTACGAACTGGATTTTGTCATTTTTGCACATTTTTGTCGCCGTATTTAATTCAGCAAACTTTTTATTTTTCTTTTACAGACATTTGTTATTTGAAAGAAAAATTCTGTGTACTGAGGAATGAAATTTTGTTATTTTTCACAGTTTCTCAAATTCATCATCAGTAAAATCACACAAAAATAAATTCATTTAATATCAACTATAAAAAAAAAAAACAACAAAAAGTGACAAAAGTGTGAAAAATGCCCACATGCAAACGTCTGTTTGTGTCTATTAAATGACTATCAAGGTATTTTTTGAGACATTTAGCACCAATGGTTTGTGTTTTTGAGTCATTGTGAACCAGATTCTGTCATTTTTGCACATTTTGAAAGCCGCTGTAGACTTTTGCTGCCATTCTGACTCTTCTGATGAACTCTGGAGGCGGTTGGAGCTCCGTGTCCTCTGACTCTCAGCATGTTCTGAGTTTTAAAGCTTTCTGAGCTTTTCACTACCTGTGAAACCTAGTACAACTACCTGTTTTGCTGTGCATATGACAATAAAACTCTTGAATCTTTTCCACGTCTTGTCTCTTTATCTGACTGAGGATCTTCCACGCTTTGTGTTTTCTTCTCTGTCTGACTG